AGCAACTTCGCACAGCCATCGAAGAGGAGTGGGACAAAATTCCACATTCAACAGCCTGATCAACTCTATGCAAAGGAGATGTGTCATGCTGCATGAGGCAAATGGTGGTCACACAAGATAATGACTGGTTTTCTGATCCACGCCCCTATCTTCTTTTTTTTAAGGTATCTGTGATCAACAGATGCATATCTGTATTCCCAGTCATGTAAAATCCATAGATTAGGGCCTAATTTATTTATTTCAGTTGACTGATTTCCTTATATGAACTGCAACTTTGAAATTGGAAAATGTGGCCTTTATATTTTTGTTCAGTGTATAAAAACATTTAAATGATCCATTTAATCCACAGTATATTTGCCACTCTCTTTGAAAGGGTGATATCTAGATCTGGGGCAGGCTGTTAGACCAGACGGGTAGACTTACACTCTCGGGGATGGTGGGCAGGCCATTGATATCTGGGGTTATGAAGTAGGAGTGCTGAGGAAACAGAGAGAGAGATGACAAGGTCAGCAACGTAGAGTAGCACGTCACTCATAGAGAGAGAGAGAAAACCTCACTTTGGTTCCATGATTTATGAATCATCATCTCCTCTTCTGTGGGAATTATTGAGTTTCTGTCTGTACTGACAGCTAGAAGGGCAGCACTGATACACACACACACACACACACACACACACACACACAAACAAACACACACACACACACCTGATCCCGATAGTTTTAAGATGAGGTGAGCTCTCTGGTGGGAAACTAGGTCTTTATTTCAGCATTAAAGTGCACGGACAACACGCACACACACACAGGTTGCTGAGAGGATCAGAGAGCTGCCCGTCTCACTTTGGGAAAGCAGAGCAGGTTGACTGTTTGGATCAAACAGGCCTGAGAGAGGGACCGAGCAGGTAGGCAGCATGCACTCACAGCACTTTCAAGCTCTCGTTTTGAGACTTCATTACACATCATACGACGACATACACACATTCATACAAGCGCATATACACACACACACTAAATCACACTCCAAATAACATAACCCCAGCGTTTTGACTCCTTAGAAGAGAGACAGAGAAACCACCACCAAGCACAGGTCAAAACTACAACACCCATAAAACACCTCACCTGGGAAAAGGGACCAAAGCAAAGGCAGTACTCACAAACACCATCTGATGACAATTCACCTAAATTAATGATGTAACCTAATTTCTATAGTTGAGTCACTGTCACATTATTTTCTGCCTTGGTGTGTCAGTGTGTGTGTGTCCTCAGTTCAGTTCCATCAGTCCCAGGCCCTCACTGTGTGTGTGTTTGTTTGCTTATCTGTAATTTTTTTCCAAGCAATGTTTATATAAAAACATGAAATGTGTGTTAACGGGAAAGGCATCAAGGAGGATTGCCTTTAAACAGGCACCATAAAAGAGACTTCTGATATTAAGAAAGAAAATGCGGTAGAATGGAACACCATTAATCATTCGCTCAGTTTGATTGTTTTCCAGAGGAGAAGAAACAGACTCCAAGGCCCAGGATAGGTTGTTTTTGTGAGATTTAAAAATATAGACAGGCTTATTTGGCCAAATTGGAAAGCCTCAACTCCCATGCGGTTAGTGCAGCAGCAGCCGTTTTAACAGTTCACATCTCTCTCTCTCCTCCCACTTTTTTCTTTCCGCTCTCACGTTCACTCAGTCTTCTCCTGCACTCACCGGCTGCTGGCTTGGTGCATCTTTCAGTACTTGCCCAGTGGCTATATGCAACAGCGCAGTCTTCACAGTGAGAGAGATAGAGAGCAAAACAGAGTTCACACTTGAAAGGGGACAATGATCTGCCTTTTTTTCTAGGCAGCCATGAAAAAAATTACAATTTCTGTGGAAGATTCTGCTTCATCAATTGAATAGTTGAACCCTAACCTCTCCCCTCGGTGTGTTTTCTCAATGAACCTTGGTAATGGAAAACAAAAGTTTATTAAAAGCGTGCCAGACTAAAAACGACAGAATAAATAGTATTTTCCCCCATCATGATGCATCACAATCCAACTTAACCTTTCTTTCATATCAATGTATTTATTGGTTAATAAAGGCAACTGGAATAAATTGAACTGTATAATAGTATAACCTTTAGATATTACAGCCAAGGAGAGGCTGTTTTAAGTCTTAGTCTACTGTAAAGAATAGCTGCCATCTCTTACAACACAATAAGCATGCAGAATAACAAATGCGGAGACCAAATTTTACAATAATAAAAGCTGCTTTTTTGGTCCTTAAAACCTCTATTTTCCCCCATCAATTTAAAGTGACAATTAGCAATTGAAACAATAACAAAGCGTACTCCCCACCCGTTTCAGTAAAAAGCTGAGGGATGGGGCTGGAGAAATGTAACCACTTTCTAATTCATAGACAGAGCTATGGACACAAGGAGTGACCATCCATAACATCAACATTATAGAAAATAAATAAATTGGGAGGCTATATAGTGTTCGTTTACATTTACTTTGTTTACAAACATTGGAGTAAAAACAAGCTTATATTTGGGGTTCTGATGGGGTACGACCATTAAACAAAGCTCATGAGGCATTTATAAGTTATATTCTTCAAGTATCAATAGGTACATATCAATCATTTATCATTCCAAAAATGTATGTAGCAACTACAGATTGCCCCTTTAAATAAGGCACAGTTATGGAAAAGGAGCGACTTAAAAATAAGTGTTATATTTGTCCAGTAATCCTCTGTGAGATAGTGTCAGACGTAAGTAAAACATGACCTGTGTTTGACGGCCAGTTGGTTGTTAGGATGTTTCTGCCAGTGATAACTAGGAGACATGATGAGTTGCGAAAGCAGCCATTATGCTAACAGATGTCCAGCTAAGGCTTATCCCACAGACCACTTGTGTTTCTAAACAAAGTGTCAGCCCCGTCTCCTCACCTATCTGTCCCCTCTCTTCCTTATCCTAGCTCTCCTCTAACTCTCTCCCCTCCGTCTCCTCACCCATCTCTCCCCTCTCTCCTCTCCCATCTCTATTCTACCCCTCTACTTCTCTCTAGGAGTACCTACCACACTCAGGTTTACTGGGGTGAAGGGCTTCGGCACAGGCAGACTGTACAGGGAGTTCAGTATGTCATTCAGCTCATTCTCCTGGAAAACACACCACAAAACACACACAAGAAGAATTATCCAAATGTAAAATCGTGTGTCAGATATATATATATATATATATATACACTGAGTATACTATACATTGAAAACACCTGATCTTTCCATGACAGACTGACCAGGCAAATCCAGGGGAAAGTTATGATCCTTTATTGATGTCAACTGTTAAATCCACTTCAATCAGTGTAGATGAAGGGGAGGATACAGGTTAAAGAAGGGTTTTTAAGCCTTGAGACATGGATTGTGTATGAGTGCCATTCAGAGGGTGAATGGGCAAGACAAAATATTTAAGTGCCTTTGAACGGGGTATGGTAGAAGGCGCCAAGCGCACCGGTTTGAGTGTGTCAAGAACTGCAACGCTACTGGGTTTTTCACGCTCAACAGTTTCCCTGTGTGCATCAAGAATGGTCCACCACCCAATATTTTCCGAAGGCACTGTAGTTACTAAGACAGGTTACTAAGACATAATTACATAGTTACTAAAACAGGTTACTAAGACATAGTTAAAAAGTCGCAGGTTATTGTTTATGAAAAACATTTTTGTCTCGGATAATTTTTGTCTCTTCTGACTGGCAGTTTTCAAATGGTGCGTGTGTGAGATAGTGAGAGAGAGAGCGCGTGCGATTGAACAGCCTCCTGTCATGAGAGGCTGAATGCTCACACGCATGGTCAGTAACAGAGCTGAGCCTGAGGAAACACTTCATTTACCCCTGGTCCTAAACCCTCATCTGTCAACATCCCTCCATCGCCTCGCTACAGCAGGGTAAATATAAACCAAACCATGCACACCAACACGTCGGTCCCCCAACATTTACACACACACCCATACCTCATCTATCTCCTTCTCATTCCGAATCCCTCCTCTCTCCCTCTCGCTCGCTCTCTATCGCTCCGCTTCAGAGCAGAAATAAAGATGAACGCAGAAATGTTCACACAAACAAAGGAGTTCTTCTTTTACAGAAAATAACCTTTATACTTGTGCTCTTCTTTGGTTTTGACTGAAAATGACATCAAACACATTCATCCATAAATGTATTTACACTACTGTAGTTCAGATCCACTCAAGTGACTTGACATTTCAGAAGGAACATTCAAAGAACCCAGAGATTGTTCTGTTGAAAAACATATAAAATATGTAACATGTAATATATAATACATATATATATAATATACAATACTAGAGAAGCAGGAGGGAAGGCTAATGACGGTCAGCACTCCTGATTGGTTGAAATGTTGCATGACATTGTCCGTTTCCTGTGCCCTCTGACCCTACGTGTGTGTGTGTGTGTGTTAGGGAGGCTCGGTCCCCTTCACCCCTCCCTCAGCAGCTTCGAGGAAGCAGAGATACATGACAGCACACTGATGCCACTCCTTAGTCCAAGCTCACAACCACTCACTTCCTCCCTCCGCCTCCCCCAATGCGCTCTCCTTCCCTCTCTCTCTGCCTCATCAACTCCACTATATTTTATACATTCCCTCAACTTATTTTCCTCTGTAACGGTACAGGTTATTGTCAGGGGAAATAGTTTGGCGAAGTGTGTGTGTAAACATGATTGTGCATGTGCATTCCTACTCTCACTCTCTCTCTCTCTCTCTCTCCCTCTCTCTCTCTCCTCTCTCTCATCTCTCTCTCTCTCTTCATCTCTCTCTCTCATCTCTCTCTCTCTCTCTCTCTCCCTCTCTCTCTCTCTCTCTTCTCTCTCTCTTCTCGTTCTCTCATCCTCTCTCTCTCTCCCCCTCCTCACTGCCGGAGCGGACCGCGGGTATCGAGGGGACATTTGTCTGCCTCGTCTCTCGAGGTAGTAGGTCGTGCTCGTCCCCTCTCCGTCTCGGGGGGGCCGTCCTCAATCTCCTTTCTCCCTCAGAGGTGGGTGCGTGGTGGCCCTCGGCTCTGTCTCATATGCTTCGGGTGCTCTCTGAGCGTTCCGCGCGAAGTCTCTGGTGGGTTCTTCCTCTCGTCTGCAATCGTTCTCGCTCTCGTCTCGCGTGCGATCTCTCTCTCTCTCTCCTCTTTCTCTCGCGTCGTCGTCGTGCGGTGTCTCTCGTCTCCGCAATGCACCTCAATGTCAGGGTGGTGCGGGGTCAGGTCCCTGCGGCGGGTCGGAGAACTCAGCGCTAGGCGCTGTGGGCCTGAGAGGTCCCTGCCTCTCGCGAAAGATCAGAGCAGGTTTGCTGGGTCATGGGCTCGTTAGCGGCCGGTAGATGGCGAGGTAAGCGCCACGCCATGGGGGTGTGGGGCAGAGCGGTGGACGGCGTTCATAGGATTGCAGAGTTGCGATCCGACGGGGGAGTACTGGGCATGCCCTACGCAAGCGGGTGCACGAATTGCGGTGGAGGATGCCAATAGCGGTTCGCGCAGAAGTCGGGTGAGGGGGGCAGGTGGTCGGAAGTTTCAAGTTCATGGAGTCTCGGAAGGTGAGACACGGGGGGGTGGTGATCTGGGCGCACTCTCTGGGGTGGGTTGAAGGAGTGGATTCGATCTGCTCACCATCACTTTTTTTGGTTACTACATGATTCCATTTGTGTTATTTCATAGTGTTGATGTCTTCACTATTATTCTACAATGTTGAAAATAGTAAAAATAAAGAAACTTTTGACCGGTAGTGTATATATATATATATCTGGACTGTTACTGTTTGCAAAATAAGATCATCCACAAAATAAGCTGATTAAAAAGTAGCATAGTAGTACTACTAGTCTGTTGTTGGTTGGTGACTTCTGCTACATTACCGGAACAAAATAAATCTGAGTCCTATGAAATGCCACATGTCTTAAAGAAGTAATGTAGAGAGATGTGCAGGCAGTCTCACCTGGTTTGTGGTTAGGTAATCTGCTAGCGTGTTCAGGAGCTTGTAATAGATCTCAAACCAGGGCAGATAACTGAGAGAGAAACACAAAATAGACATGTTTACAATCAAGCCAGAATTCAAATTCATATACTATGACTGTCATAATTCTAAATAATTAATAAAACAAAAACAGAGAAAGTCCCACCTTTGAGAAGTGAGCTACGGACACAGCCATTGTATAGTCCTACTGCTGTGGCTCAAATAGTTATACAGTATATTTTACACACTCCTGTCGTGTCTGCTGTTTCAAGGCAGTGGGTAGGGAAGATAGGGATAGGGCTTTAGGTTAAAGGTGGTGGGTAGAGGAGGTAGAGAGTAGAGACAGGGCTTTAGTTTAAAGGTGGTGGGTAGAGGAGGTAGACAGCAGAGACAGGGCTTTAGTTTAAAGGTGGTGGGTAGAGGAGGTAGAGACAGGGCTTTAGTTTAAAGGTGGTGGGTAGAGGAGGTAGAGACAGGGCTTTAGTTTAAAGGTGGTGGATAGAGGAGGTAGAGACAGGACTTTAGTTTAAAGGTGGTGGGTAGAGGAGGTAGAGAGTAGAGACAGGGTTTTAGTTTAACGGTGGTGGGTAGAGGAGGTAGAGACAGGGCTTTAGTTTAAAGGTGGTGGGTAGAGGAGGTTAGAGAGCAGAGACAGGGCTTTAGTTTAAAGGTGGTGGGTAGAGGAGGTAGAGACAGGGCTTTAGTTTAAAGGTGGTGGGTAGAGGAGGTAGAGAAGAGAGACGGGCTTAGTTTAAAGGGTGGTGGGTAGAGGAGGTAGAGGGCAGGGCTTTAGTTTGAAGGTGGTGGGTAGAGGAGGTAGAGAGCAGAGACAGGGCTTTAGTTTAAAGGTGGTGGGTAGAGGAGGTAGAGACAGGGCTTTAGTTTAAAGGTGGTGGGTAGAGGAGGTAGAGACAGGGCTTTAGTTTAAAGGTGGTGGGTAGAGGAGGTAGAGACAGGGCTTTAGTTTAAAGGTGGTGGGTAGAGGAGGTAGAGACAGGGCTTTAGTTTGAAGGTGGTGGGTAGAGGAGGTAGAGAGCAGAGACAGGGCTTTAGTTTAAAGGTGGTGGGTAGAGGAGGTAGAGACAGGGCTTTAGTTTGAAGGTGGTGGGTAGAGGAGGTAGAGAGCAGAGACAGGGCTTTAGTTTAAAGGTGGTGGGTTATAGGGGTAGGGTAGAGACAGGGTTTAGTTTGAAGGTGGTGGGTAGAGGAGGTAGAGAGCAGAGACAGGGCTTTAGTTTAAAGGTGGTGGGTAGAGGAGGTAGAGAGTAGAGACAGGGCTTTAGTTTAAAGGTGGTGGGTAGAGGAGGTAGAGACAGGGCTTTAGTTTAAAGGTGGTGGGTAGAGGAGGTAGAGACAGGGCTTTAGTTTAAAGGTGGTGGGTAGAGGAGGTAGAGAGCAGAGACAGGGCTTTAGTTTAAAGGTGGTGGGTAGAGGAGGTAGAGGAGGGAGAGACAGGGCTTTAGTTTAAAGGTGGTGGGTAGAGGAGGTTGAGACGGTGCTTTAGTTTAAAGGTGGTGGGTAGAGGAGGTAGAGACGGGGCTTTAGTTTAAAGGTGGTGGGTAGAGGAGCTAGAGAGCAAAGACAGGGCTTTAGTTTAAAGGTGGTGGGTAGAGGAGGTAGAGACAGGGCTTTAGTTTAAAGGTGGTGGGTAGAGGAGGTAGAGAGTAGAGACAGGGCTTTAGTTTAAAGGTGGTGGGTAGAGGAGGTAGAGAGCAGAGACAGGGCTTTAGTTTAAAGGTGGTGGGTAGAGGAGGTAGAGACAGGGCTTTAGTTTAAAGGTGGTGGGTAGAGGAGGTAGAGACAGGGCTTTAGTTTAAAGGTGGTGGGTAGAGGAGGTAGAGAGCAGGACAGGCTTTAGTTTAAAGGTGGTGGGTAGAGGAGTAGAGGACGTAGAGACAGGGCTTTAGTTTAAAGGTGGTGGGTAGAGGAGGTTGAGACGGTGCTTTAGTTTAAAGGTGGTGGGTAGAGGAGGTAGAGACAGGGCTTTAGTTTAAAGGTGGTGGGTAGAGGAGCTAGAGAGCAAAGACAGGACTTTAGTTTAAAGGTGGTGGGTAGAGGAGGGAGAGACAGGGCTTTAGTTTAAAGGTGGTGGATAGAGGAGGTAGAGACAGGGCTTTAGTTTAAAGGTGGTGGGTAGAGGAGGGTAGAGGAGGTAGAGACAGGGCTTTAGTTTAAAGGTGGTGGGTAGAGGAGGTAGAGACAGGGCTTTAGTTTAAAGGTGGTGGGTAGAGGAGGTAGAGAGCAAGAGACAGGGCTTTAGTTTAACGGTGGTGGGTAGAGGAGGGGTAGAGACAGGGCTTTAGTTTAAAGGTGGGGGTAGAGGAGGTAGAGAGCAGAGACAGGGGTTTAGTTTAAAGGTGGTGGGTTAGTAGAGGAGGTAGACGGGCAGGGCTTTAGTTTGAAGGTGGTGGGTAGAGGGAGGTAAGAGAGCAGAGACAGGGCTTAGTTTAAAGGTGGTGGGTAGAGGAGGTAGAGACAGGGCTTTAGTTTAAAGGTGGTGGTAGAGGAGGTAGGGACAGGGCTTTAGTTTAAAGGTGGTGGGTAGGAGGGAGGTAGAGGGCCCGGGCTTAGTTTAAAGGTGGTGGGTAGAGGAGGTAGAGACAGGGCTTTAGTTTGAAGGTGGTGGGTAGAGGAGGTAGAGAGCAGAGACAGGGCTTTAGTTTAAAGGTGGTGGGTAGAGGAAGGTGGGAGAGGACAGGGCTTTAGTTGAAGGTGGTGGGTTAGAGAGGAGGTAGAGAGCAGAGACAGGGCTTTAGTTTAAGGGGGTGGGTAGAGGAGGTAGAGACAGGGCTTTAGTTTAAAGGTGGTGGGTAGAGGAGGTAGAGAGCAGAGACAGGGCTTTAGTTTAAAGGTGGTGGGTAGAGGAGGTAGAGACAGGGCTTTAGTTTAAAGGTGGTGGGTAGAGGAGGTAGAGGAGGTAGAGACAGGGCTTTAGTTTAAAGGTGGTGGGTAGAGGAGGTAGAGACAGGGCTTTAGTTTAAAGGTGGTGGGTAGAGGAGGTAGAGAGTAGAGACAGGGCTTTAGTTTAAAGGTGGTGGGTAGAGGGGGTAGAGAGCAGAGACAGGGCTTTAGTTTAAAGGTGGTGGGTAGGAGGAGGGTAGAGACAGGGCTTTAGTTTAAAGGTGGTGGGTAGAGGAAGGTAGAGACAGGGCTTTAGTTAAAGGTGGTGGGTAGGGGATAGAGGAGGTTGAGACGGTTGCTTTAGTTTAAAGGTGGTGGGTAGAGGAGGGTAGAGACAGGGGCTTTAGTTTAAAGGTGGTGGGTAGAGGAGTAGAGAGCAAGAGACAGGGCTTTAGTTTAAAGGTGGTGGGTAGAGGAGGTAGAGACAGGGCTTTAGTTTAAAGGTGGTGGATAGAGGAGGTAGAGACAGGGCTTTAGTTTAAAGGGTGGTGGGTTAGAGGAGGTAAGGAGAGTAGAGACAGGGCTTTAGTTTAAAGGTGGTGGGTTTTGAGGAGGTAGAGACAGGGCTTTAGTTTAAAGGTGGTGGGTAGAGGAGGTAGAGAGGGTAGGGTAGAGTGGACAGGGCTTTAGTTTAAAGGTGGTGGGTAGAGGAGGTAGAGAGCAGAGACATGGCTTTAGATTAAAGGTGGTGGGTTAGAGGAGGTTAGAGACAGGGCATTTAGTTTAAAGGTGGTGGTTAGAGGAGGTAGAGGATGTAGAGACAGGGCTTTTGTTTAAAGGTGGTGGGTTAGAGGACGGTAGAGACAGGGCTTAGTTTAAAGGTGGTGGGTAGAGGAGGTAGAGACAGGGGTTTAGTTTAAAGGTGGGGGTAGAGGAGGGTAGAGACAGGGCTTTAGTTTTTAAAGGTGGTGGGTAGAGGAGGTAGAGAAAATGGGTAGAGACAGGGCTTTAGTTTAAAGGTGGTGGGTAGAGGAGGTAGTAGAGAGCAGAAGGGTTTAGTTTAAAGGTGGTGGGTAGAGGAGGTAGAGACAGGGCTTTAGTTTGAAGGTGGGGGGTAGAGGAGGTAGAGAGCAGAGACAGGGCTTTAGTTTAAAGTGGTGGGTAAGGAGGTTAGAGGAGACAGGGCTTTAGTTGAAGGTGGTGGGTATAGAGGAGGGGAGGAGAGCAGAGGACAGGGCTTTAGTTTAAAGGTGGTGGGTAGAGGAGGTAGAGACAAAGGGGTTTAGTTTAAAGGTGGTGGGTTTGAGGAGCTAGAGAGCAAAGACAGGGCTTTAGTTTAAAGGTGGTTGGGTATAGGGGGGAGGAGGTAGAGGGCAGGGCTTTAGTTTAAAGGTGGTGGGTAGAGGAGGTAGAGAGTAGAGACAGGGCTTTAGTTTAAAGGTGGTGGGTAGAGGAGGTAGAGACAGAGAGGGCTTTAGTTTAAAGGTGGTGGGTTTGAGGAGGGTAGAGACAGGGCTTTAGTTAAAGGTGGGTGGGTAGAGGGGGGTAGAGACAGGGCTTTAGTTTAAAGTGGTGGGGTAGAGGAGGTGGTAGTAGAGAGCAGAGACAGGGCTTTAGTTTAAAGGTGGTGGGTAGAGGAGGTAGAGGAGGTAGAGACAGGGCTTTAGTTTAAAGGTGGTGGGTAGAGGAGGTTGAGACGGTGCTTTAGTTTAAAGGTGGTGGGTAGAGGAGGTAGAGACGGGGCTTTAGTTTAAAGGTGGTGGGTAGAGGAGCTAGAGAGCAAAGACAGGGCTTTAGTTTAAAGGTGGTGGGTAGAGGAGGTAGAGACAGGGCTTTAGTTTAAAGGTGGTGGGTAGAGGAGGTAGAGAGTAGAGACAGGGCTTTAGTTTAAAGGTGGTGGGTAGAGGAGGTAGAGAGCAGAGACAGGGCTTTAGTTTAAAGGTGGTGGGTAGAGGAGGTAGAAAGACAGGGCTTTAGTTTAAAGGTGGTGGGTTAAAGGGGGTAGAGAGCAGAGAAGGGCTTAGTTTAAAGGTGGTGGGTAGAGGAGGTAGAGGAGGGAGAGACAGGGCTTTAGTTTAAAGGTGGTGGGTAGAGGAGGTGAGACGGTGCTTTAGTTTAAGGTGGTGGGTAGAGGAGGTAGAGACGGGCTTTAGTTTAAAGGGGTGGGTAGAGGGAGCTAGAGAGCAAAGACAGGGCTTTAGTTTAAAGGTGGTGGAAGAGGAGGTTAGAGACAGGGTTAGTTTAAAGGTGGTGGATAGAGGAGGTAGAGACAGGGCTTTAGTTTAAAGGTGGTGGGTGTAGAGGAGGTAGGGAGGGGTAGAGGACAGGGCTTTAGTTTAAGGTGGTGGGTAGAGAGAGAGGAGGTAGAGACAGGCTTTAGTTTAAAGGTGGTGGGTAGAGGGAGGAGGGTAGAGGAGGGAGAGACAGGGCTTAGTTTAAAGGTGGTGGGTAGAGGAGGTTAGAGACAGAGACATGCTTTAGATTAAAGGTGGTGGGTAGAGGAGGGTAAGGTAGAGACAGGGCTTTAGTTTAAAGGTGGTGGGTAGAGGAGGAGGTAGAGGAGGTAGAGACAGGGCTTTAGTTTAAAGGTGGTGGGTAGAGGAGGGATAGAGACAGGGCTTTAGTTTAAAGGTGGTGGGTGTAGAGGAGGTAGGGTAGAGACGGGCTTTAGTTTAAAGGGTGGTGGGTAAAGGAGAGAGGTAGAGACAGGGCTTAGTTTAAGGTGGTGGGTAGAGGAGCTAGAGACAGGGCTTTAGTTTAAAGGTGGTGGGTAGAGGGGGGTAGAGACAGGGCTTAAGTTTAAAGGTGGTGGGTTAGAGGAGGTAGAGGAGGTAGAGACAGGGCTTAGTTTAAAGGTGGTGGGTAGAGGAGGTTGAGGGCGGTGCTTTAGTTTAAAGGTGGGGTGGGAGAGGAGGTAGAAGAACGGGGCTTTAGTTTAAAGGTGGTGGGTAGAGGAGTAGAGAGCAAAGACAGGGCTTTAGTTTAAGGTGGGGGTGAGGAGGAGGTAGAGACAGGGCTTTAGTTTAAAGGTGGTGGATAGAGGTAAGGGCAGGGTTTTTTAAAGGTGGTAGGGAGTAGAGGAGTAGAGGGAGAGGAGACAGGGCTTTAGTTTAAAGGTGGTGGGTAGAGGAGGGTAGAGGACAGGGCTTTAGTTTAAAGGTGGGTGGTAGGAGGTAGAGAGTAGAGGTAGAGGGCAGGGCTTTAGTTTAAAGGTGGTGGGTAGAGGGGTAGAGAGCAGAGACAGGGCTTTAGTTAAAGGTGGTGGGTATAGAAGAGGTAGAGACGGGCTTTAGTTTAAAGGTGGTGGGTTAGAGGAGGTAAGAGGAAGGGCTTTAGTTAAAGGTGGTGGGGGGTAGAGGAGGTAGAGGGTAGAGACAGGACGGGCTTTAGTTTAAAGGTGGTGGGTTTGAGGAGGTAGAGACAGGGCTTTAGTTTAAAGGTGTGGGAGAGGAGGGTAGAGACAGGGCTTTAGTTTAAAGTGGTGTGGATTAGAGGAGGGGGGGTAGAGAGACAGGGCTTTAGTTTAAAAGGTGGTGGGTTTGAGGAGGTTAGAGACAGGGCTTTTTGTTTAAAGGTGGTGGGTAGAGGAGGCTAGAGACAGGGCTTTAGTTTAAAGGTGGGGGTTAGAGGAGGTAGAGGACAGGGCTTTAGTTTATAAGGTGGTGGGTAGGAGGTAGGGAGGCAGAGACAGGGCTTTAGTTTAAAGGTGGTGGGTAGAGGAGGTTAGAGGAGCAGAGACAGGGCTTAGTTTAAAGGTGGTGGGTAGAGGTAGAGGAGGGTAGAGGAGGTAGAGACAGGGCTTAGTTTAAAGGTGGTGGTAGAGGAGGTAAAAGGACAGGGCTTTAGTTTATAGGTGGTGGGTAGAGGAGGGTAGAGAGCAGAGACAGGGCTTTAGTTTAAAGGTGGTAGGTAGAGGAGGTAGAGCAAGACAGGCTTTAGTTTAAAGGTGGTGGGTAGAGGAGGTAGAGACAGGGCTTTAGTTTAAAGGTGGTGGATTAGAGGAGGGTAGAGAGCAGAAAACAGGGCTTTAGTTTAAAGGTGGTGAGGAGGGAGGTTGAAGTAGAGACAGGGCTTTAGTTTAAAGGTGGTGGGTAGAGGAGGTAGAGACAGGCCTTTAGTTTAAAGGTGGTGGGTAGAGGAGGTAGAGACAGGGCTTTAGTTTAAAGGTGGTGGGTTAGAGGAAGTAGAGGTAGAGACAGGGCTTTAGTTTAAAGGTGGGGGAGAGGAGGTTTGAGAAAGCAGAGACAGGGCTTTAGTTTAAAGGTGGTGGGTTAGAGGAGGTAGAGAGGAACAGGGGTTTAGTTTAAAGGTGGTGGGTAGAGGAGGTAGAGACAGGGCTTTAGTTTTAAAAAGGGGGTGGGTAGAGGAGGTAGAGGGGTAGAGACAGGGCTTTAGTTTAAAGGGTGGGGGGGTAGGTAGAGAGTAGAGACAGGGCTAGTTTTAAAAGGTGGTGGGTAGAGAGGAGTAGAGACAGGGCTTTTGTTTAAAGGTGGTGGGTAGAGGGGGAGGTAGAGACAGGGCTTTAGTTTAAAGGTGGTGGGTAGAGAGTAGAGGACAGGCTAGTTTAAAAAGGTGGGGGTAGAGGAGGTAGAGACAGGGCTTTAGTTTAAAGGTGGTGGGTAGAGGAGTAGAGAGCAGAGACAGGGCTTAGTTTAAAGGTGGGTGGGTAGAGGAGGTTAGAGGAGGAGAGACAGGGGGTTTAGTTTAAAGGTGGTGGGTAGAGGAGGTTAGAGAGCAGAGACAGGGCTTTAGTTTAAAGGTGGTGGGTAGAGGGGTAGAGAGCAGAGACAGGGCTTTAGTTTAAAGGTGGTGGGTAGAGGAGGGGGTAGAGAGTAGAGGACAGGGCTTTAGTTTAGAAGGTGGTGGGTAGAGGAGGTAGAGAGCAGAGAAGGCTTTAGTTTAAAGGTGGTGGGTAGAGGAGGTAGAGGGAGACAGGGCTTTAGTTTAAAGGTGGGGGTAGAGGAGGTTAGAGAGAGACAGGGCTTAGTTTAAAGGTGGTGGGTAGAGGAGGTAGAAAAGACAGGGCTTTAGTTTAAAGGTGGTGGGTAGAGAGGGTAGAGAGCGAGGACAGGGCTTTAGTTAAAGGTGGTGGGTAGAGGAGGTAGAGTAGAGACAGGGCTTTAGTTAAAGGTGGGGGTGTAGAGGAGGTAGAGAGTAGACAGGGTTTAGTTTAAAGGTGGGTGGGTAGAGGAGGTAGAGACAGGGCTTTAGTTTAAGGTGGTGGGTCGAGGAGGTAGTAGAGGAGTAGAGACAGGGCTTTAGTTTAAGGTGGTGGGTAGAGGAGGGTAGAGAGTAGAGACAGGGCTTTAGTTTAAATGTGGTGGTAGAGGAGGTGGGCAGAGACAGGGCTTTAGTTTAAAGGGGGGGAGTAGAGGAGGTAGAGACAGGCTTTAGTTTAAAGGTGGTTTGGGTCGAGGAGGTAGAGGAGGTAGAGACAGGGCTTTAGTTTTAAAGGTTGGTGGGGTAGGAGAGTAGAGAGCAGAGACAGGGCTTAGTTTAAAGTGGTGGGTAGAGGAGGTAGAGAGCAGAGACAGGGCTTTAGTTTAAAGGTGGTGGGTTGGGGGTAGAGGAGGTAGAGACAGGGCTTAGTTTAAAGGTGTGGGTAGAGAGGGTTAGAGAGCAGAGACAGGCTTAGTTTAAGGTGGTGGTGGGGTAGAGGAGGTAGAGCAGGCTTTAGTTTAAGGTGGTGGGTAGAGGAGTAGAGGGAGACAGGGCTTAGTTTAAAGGTGGTGGGTTAGAGGAGGTAGAGAGCGGACAGGGCTTTAGTTTAAAGGTGGTGGGTAGGGAGGTAAACAGGACAGGGCTTAGTTTAAAGGTGGTGGGTGAGGGGAGGGTAGGGGCAGGGCTTTAGTTTAAAGGGGGTGGGTAGAGGACGGTAGGGTAGAGACAGGGCTTAGTTTAAAGTGGTGGGTAGAGGAGGTAGAGAGTAGAGACAGGGCTTTAGTTTAAGGTTGGTGGGTAGAGGAGTGGTGGTAGAGACAGGGCTTTAGTTTAAAGTGGGGGTAGGGAGGGTAGAGGGTGAGACAGGGCTTTAGTTTAAAGGTGGGGGTAGGGGGGGAGAGACAGGGCTTTAGTTTAAAGGTGGTGGGTATAGGAGGTAGAGAGCAGAGACAGGGCTTTAGTTTAAAGGTGGTGGGTAGAGGAGGTAGAGACAGGGCTTTAGTTCTTCAACCCAACATGACTGGGCCAGCGAGAGCTGTGGTAGAGGTGGAGGAGGGATGCCTTGGTTTACATAATGATCCCAGATACACATCCCAGGCTCAGCCCAAGCCAACACACAGACGCACAGAGGGAGAGAAGCAATACCCCACCGCCTTTTTACTTTAAAAATAGACATTCCTTCTGGTTTTTCCTTACCTAATTAATGTTAAATAAATAAATAAAATTAACAAACTAAAAATAATTTATACTGTAGTGTTTGTGTTATAGCTAATCGCAAAATACACCCACCAGAAGCCAAATGCATCTGCAACATGGCTCTCTTGATAAGGTTGACACGTTCTTGGCAGAGATATTTGACTTTTGAGGTGGAATGTGGCTAGAATTTTGTTTTGGCTTGAAGGTTGCTCAGAAAAGAGAGCTCAGTTCATTTATAATGTTATGCAATCAAATAATCAAAACGTGGTGGGGTACCGATGTGAGTTATTACATTTTTATTCAGCTTACATGTATTTTAGAAAATGTCTGGCATAATGACAGTGGATTATGCTTTCCTTGTCATTCTGCACTTAAACAACAAATAAATAGATGCTTCATTAACTTTCAATAACTGAATGAAGGTTGAAATTAAGAACAAATGAACGAATGAATGAATGAATGAATGAATGAATGAATGAATGAATGAATGAATACGGTCAAAATTCAACTTACATTAAACAGAATGTGTGGGCATGATGCATTAACAAAAGTTGGTTGTTAAATTGAAATGGCTACCTGGCTAACAAAAAATTACCACACAAAAAAAATCACTTTGAAACTTTAAAATACTGTCTCTAAGCTGACTTGATGAAGTAGTAGGCTAATACAAAATAATTCTAAAGAGATTACAATAAAACGTTTGATTTGTAATCCCCAGTAAAAACTGTGTGTGTGTGTGTAGGGCTTGGCTGAGGGACTTTTATTAGCCAGGGAAGTCCTGTAGAGACAGGGGGATGCTGGGTAGTTCTCATGGCATGGGTCACTGGCTGCTCTGCAGACTGGAATTAACACACAACAAGAAAACAAAGTCAACCTAATGCAAATTTTAATATCGCTAAATCCGCAAGGGGCCAATGACACGGCGGTTCCCGGGCAAGTGCAGCCAAGCGCACCCATCAGGGGGCCTGAGTGACCATTAACCTGAAACAATCAGATTCTTAACATGCCAATATTTTGACGTCCGCATGAAGATCTCACCGTAATCAGGTCACACACTCTCCAAACCCAAACGTAACATGCGTGTGTTATCTACAAAATTCACATGCTGACTGGACATTAAAAACAGAAACCTAAAGACATAAATATGCCATGTTGCCAAACAAACAGCAGTGGATATTTTTATGAGCTGTGGGTGTGTTGAAGTTTATCAATACAACCCAAAAATGCTAATTAAAAAAAAAAAAATCTGAGAAGGTCACTGAAATAGTCATAATAAGTCTCCTCTGGCCCTTTGTTTAAGAAGCTAGGCTCCTGGACGCTAATCCTTTACATATCCCATGTGAGGGTATATTTAAATAGGCCTCTCTCACTCTCCCCGTCTGTCATGTCAGCCTCTCCTTGGCAGGCCTCACAGCCCTCTCAACCATCACAGCCCTCTCAACCATCACACTCTTTAATGACCAGGCTGTAATCTTTTGTTTTAGAGACAAATAAATTATTGGTGTAGCAGCGAGCAGCGAACCGCAATTTATCATGATAGCCGGATAGGGATACTAGACCACATCTAACCTTAGCAAAATTAGGCTGAGGTATTTTCTGTGGTATGCGTTTCTTTTTTCTTAAATGAAGCTATGTCAGTAAGCACTGCTCCTCTCCCCAGTTAGCGGCTTAGGCTTGTTTGTGTTTCCTAAATCCCCAGATAGAGAGACATCCATCACTGTGTGTGGGGGCTTGGCTAGCTCTCCAGCCGTTTTAAACACACATGTTCCTTCAAAGTACTGTATACTCACAGAGTAAACCAGTTAATCTGTGGCCCACTCACAACCCCTCCGACTGTATCCCCTACCACAACACAACCCCTCAGACTCTCTATCAACCAGAACACTACACAGGGATGGTCAGAAGATATAGAGCTAGCAGTGGAAGTGATCAAATCTTCTTTATTATAATTCTGTTTAAAACAAATATTGTCTAAAAGCTCAAATCAATTAACTGGTGTTTTTGTAAGGACATAAATTATGTAATTACCAACAACACAAATTGCAACAGAGAGATGAGAGTTTTGTTTTCTGGCGTAGGGATATTATCAGTATAAACCAACTGCAATATCTCAATCCATTTTAGGGCAAATAAATACCTGTATATGTTTGGTTAGGTTGTCATGTGATTAGTAAACTACACATTTTTAACGACGTAGCCGCGTCTCCGCTGTTTGCCGCCATAAAGTACCTGTTGGTTGTTATTCCTATTCCCTGGATGGATCTTAAAATCTCCCTCTACACCCAGTCAACTTGCACCTTGTAGCTGGCTCACTGGAAGATTTGATTACACCTTTACTTTCCCGGGTTAGAGGTTAACTACTGGGAAGGAAATGCCCTCCGGCGTCCCGCTCAGTGACCACTAACGGGAGCGCCAACATCCCTAAAAGGGAACCCAATTCTCAGCCGCAAAATAAAATCAAGGAAACCGCCTTTTTTCATCAGCAACCTCTCTCACATGTCCGAAGGCGGTTTCTCCCTAAATGTGAGAGAATTACCAACGGAAAGAAGAGGAGGAGGATGGGGTCGAGGGGAAGGAAGAAAGATTGTAAAATCGAAGCATTCTGCCTCTTTAAAAAGGTTTTGGCCTGAAGGTAGCATGGCCCTTTTGGCCGGGCCTTTAGCCGCAGCACTACAAAGCCCATGCCATATAAAACTGTCCTAGTCATTAAGCCACTTCCTTGTGTAAGCATAGGTGACAATTTTATAGTCCCAGCACTTCAACAATCACAGGGACACAAACGGTTTTAATTACCATTGTTTTATATCCGGGGAACAAACACTCTAAATGAAGGTAGCTGGCTAGAAGCCTCCTCGCAGGGACCTTTGTTGATCGTCTAATGTTTTAACCTTATCTGTTATATATGATCACAACATAGATTTAAAAAGATTATTCAATATGATCACAACTTGGATTGCTTATCTAAGAATTACCAACTTCTTCCAAGTTGTGCATTTTGAAAAACAACGAAAAACGAAAGAATTAACTTGGGACCAGGTCTTTGCTCTCTCTGTCACTGATGCGAAAAATTACATTTGATTTGTTCATATTTCACATATATAAACCATGAGATATCTAAAATATGCATCTTTGTTATTATGTTTTAAAATATTTTCACTAATCTTTTCCCCCAAACTGGTCACAAAAACAAATAACTGTGAAGTTTTTAAAACACACACACACACACACACACACACACACACACACACACACACACACACACACACACACACACACACACACACACACACACACACACACACACACACACACACACACACACACACACACACACACACACACACACACACACACACACAGAATAATACAAACTTTCTATACATTTCTTATGATGAATGAATCAAGGCATGCAAACTACTCAGAATGCATAATGAATTGTATACATCATATGTCAAATGAATTAGCATGTGGGACTCAGACAGAGGGGCATGGGAGTCTCTGCTAATTGGCAGCGAGGCTTCATGCATAATTATGGGCCAAGCGGCTTCCTTCGCCGCGCTTCTATGCCAGTAGCTGTATATAACGAGGAGCGCGCGGGAAACAAAGGGCATGGTGGTGGCTGTCCGGGGGAGTTGAGGGGAGGGTACAGCTCATCTCGACAGCAGCTCATCAAGAACAAGATCAACCCTGCGACTGTCGTCATTATCCTCCGAAAATCTTTTTTTTTTTTTTTTCATTATTGTTTATTTGACTGTGCAAATTCCCATTACTGCTGTGGTTCATTCAACTATATTGTTTTACTAATGAAATGTTTCTTATTAAAAGGACATTGTCAATTGTTAACATAAAATGTGGTTTAGTTTCAAACGTCCTATTAAAAATCAATAAAACATTTTTAAAATGTATTTTTAATTAGATATCTTTCATGTTCAATAATAATAATAATAATGAATGACATAATATTTGAGATAAATCCGTGCTAAACAATATCTCGAGAGGGAGTTGAACCTACAATCTTCAATCTACTACTAAAACAATTCTTTATAGCTGTCAATAATAGGTTGTACTTTTTTGACTGCCCTGGATATAAAAAAAAAAAAAGAATAATATTATAGGGACCAAATTAAAACGGAATTCAGGAGTGTATTATTCTGTCATTGCCATGAGAAACAATTGGATGCATATTGCTTCCAAAGAGCACAATTTTTACTCTTCATCATCTATATGAGTTCCTTCACTTCCAAACCCTCACCGTCTCTACAATCAATTAAGAAATATAATCTGGATATTATAAGAGTGAAGTGAGGATATTGCAACTTCAAATTGTATTTATTTATGAATAACTAATGTGTCAACAATATACATGTCTTTCCTCATATAGGGGATAATTGTGATTAAATAAATTTCTAAAAAAAATAATACAAATACAAAACTTGATTGCGTAACTGATTGACGCAATCGGTCAGTAGCCAGAGAATAAGCTTCCTTGTTTGTAGGTAATGTGGGTAGTACCTGAGCAGACAGATGCAGACGCGGCAGCCGGAGGTGAGTCTGCAGAAGCCAAACCTCTGCTTGCTCTCGATGTCCGTCAGCACAAAGGTAAAGTTCTGACCCACCTGACTCTGGGAAACCCTGAGAACAGTCACCGCACGCACGCACGCACGCACGCACGCACGCACGCACGCACGGGACAGAGACAACACGCCATTAACACAACCAATTACCACGTGACATATACTACAGTATTACCACACAGTCACCATTACCACAGAAGAGGAGAAGAATGACAAACTTATTAGGACATATTATTCTAATGATATTTATACACAAGAGCCAAGCAATAGCGACTTGGTGAATAGCGATATTCAGGGAACGTTGTACAACATGACACTTTACTTTTTCAATATGTTAATCCTTTACAGACCTACTAGATCTGTAACTTTTCTATATGATCCTGGCTACAGTCCCTGACTGTTGAGTGTATGTGAGTTGGGTATGTGTCTTTCTCATGCAGTTCCATCACTAGATGGCAGCAGTTAAGCTTATGTGTCCTCCTAGCTATACAACGGCACTTTTCACCTCATTCTCCAGGCTGCAAATTAAGAGCAGAATCCTCTAAAGATAGACGTTTCCAAATCAGACTGGTACCAAGCCTAGAGATATAGTTATTCAGACTGGTACCAAGCCTAGAGATATAGTTATTCATCAGACTGGTACCAAGCCTATAGATATAGTTATTCAGACTGGTACCAAGCCTAGAGATATAGTTATTCAGACTGGTACCAAGCCTAGAGATATAGTTATTCAGACTGGTACCAAGTCTAGAGATATAGTTATTCAGACTGGTACCAAGTCTAGAGATATAGTTATTCAGACTGGTACCAAGCCTAGAGATATAGTTATTCAGACTGGTACCAAGCCTAGAGATATAATTATTCAGACTGGTACCAAGCCTAGAGATATAGTTATTCAGACTGGTACCAAGCCTAGAGATATAGTTATTCAGACTGGTACCAAGCCTAGAGATATAGTTATTCAGACTGGTACCAAGCCTAGAGATATAGTTATTCAGACTGGTACCAAGTCTAGAGATATAGTTATTCATCAGACTGGTACCAAGCCTAGAGATATAGTTATTCAGACTGGTACCAAGCCTAGAGATATAGTTATTCATCAGACTGGTACCAAGTCTAGAGATACAGTGGGGGAAAAAAGTATTTAGTCAGCCACCAATTGTGCAAGTTCTCCCACTTAACAAGATGAGAGAGGCCTGTAATTTTCATGATAGGTACACGTCAACTATGACAGACAAAATGAGGAAAGAAAATCCAGAAAATCACATTGTAGGATTTTTAATGAATTTATTTGCAAATTATGGTGGAAAATAAGTATTTGGTCAATAACAAAAGTTTCTCAATACTTTGTTATATACCCTTTGTTGGCAATGACACAGGTAAAACGTTTTCTGTAAGTCTTCACAAGGTTTTCACACACTGTTGCTGGTATTTTGGCCCATTCCTCCATGCAGATCTCCTCTAGAGCAGTGATGTTTTGGGGCTGTCGCTGGGCAACACAGACTTTCAACTCCCTCCAAAGATTTTCTATGGGGTTGAGATCTGGAGACTGGCTAGGCCACTCCAGGACCTTGAAATGCTTCTTACGAAGCCACTCCTTCGTTGCCCGGGCGGTGTGTTTGGGATCATTGTCATGCTGAAAGACCTGGTCCCTTTGCAGAAAAACAGCCCCAAAGCATGATGTTTCCACCCCCATGCTTCACAGTAGGTATGGTGTTCTTTGGATGCAACTCAGCATTCTTTGTCCTCCAAACACGACGAGTTGAGTTTTTACCAAAAAGTTATATTTTGGTTTCATCTGACCATATGACATTCTCCCAATCCTCTTCTGGATCATCCAAATGCACTCTAGCAAACTTCAGACGGGCCTGGACATGTACTGGCTTAAGCAGGGGGACACGTCTGGCACTGCAGGATTTGAGTCCCTGGCGGCGTAGTGTGTTACTGATGGTAGGCTTTGTTACTTTGGTCCCAGCTCTCTGCAGGTCATTCACTAGGTCCCCCCGTGTGGTTCTGGGATTTTTGCTCACTGTTCTTGTGATCATTTTGACCCCACGGGGTGAGATCTTGCGTGGAGCCCCAGATCGAGGGAGATTATCAGTGGTCTTGTATGTCTTCCATTTCCTAATAATTGCTCCCACAGTTGATTTCTTCAAACCAAGCTGCTTACCTATTGCAGATTCAGTCTTCCCAGCCTGGTGCAGGTCTACAATTTTGTTTCTGGTGTCCTTTGACAGCTCTTTCGTCTTGGCCATAGTGGAGTTTGGAGTGTGACTGTTTGAGGTTGTGGACAGGTGTCTTTTATACTGATAACAAGTTCAAACAGGTGCCATTAATACAGGTAACGAGTGGAGGACAGAGGAGCCTCTTAAAGAAGAAGCTACAGGTCTGTGAGAGCCAGAAATCTTGCTTGTTTGTAGGTGACCAAATACTTATTTTCCACCATAATTTGCAAATTAATTAATTTAAAATCCTACAATGTGATTTTCTGGATTTTTTTTTCTCAATTTGTCTGTCATAGTTGACGTGTACCTATGATGAAAATTACAGGCCTCTCTCATCTTTTTAAGTGGGAGAACTTGCACAATTGGTGGCTGACTAAATACTTTTTTCCCCCACTGTAGTTATTCAGTCAACAATAAACGCATGATACAGACATACACATTTACGCACATAGACACACATGCATGCAAAAGCACACTTACTCAGGTGAACAAGCTCTCGCATACACGCACAATGGCATACCCACATTGTGGTGGGAGTGAGATCCAATGGCCTGGCCTGGGTTAGGCAGGGATCACAGAGCATGGAGCAAAGAGCAGGAAGCAGGGAGCACAGAGCAGGGAGCACAGAGCAGGGAGCACAGAGCACAGAGCACCGAGCACCGAGCAGGGAGCACCAAGCAGGGAGCACCGAGCAGGGAGCACAGAGAAGGGAGCACCGAGCAGGAAGCACAGAGCAGGGAGCAGGGAGCACAGAGCAGGGAGCACAGAGCAGGGAGCACAGAGCAGGGAGCACAGAGCACCGAGCACAGAGCAGGTAGCACAGAGCAGGTAGCACAGAGCAGGGAGCACCGAGCAGGGAGCACAGAGCACAGGGCACAGAGCAGGGAGAACAGAGCAGGGAGAACAGAACAGGGAGAACAGAACAGGGATCACAGAGCAGGGAGCATGGAGCACAGAGCAGGGAGCACGGAGCACGGAGCAGAGGGAACAGAGCAGGGAGCACAGAGCAGGGTGCACAGAGCAGGGAACACAGAGCAGGGAGCACAGAGCAGGGAGCACAGAGCAGGGAGCACAGAGCAGGGAGCAGGGAGCACAGAGCAGGGAGCACAGAGCAGGGAGCAGGGAGCACAGAGCAGGGAGCAGGGAGCACAGAGCAGGGAGCAGGGAGCAGGGAGCAGGGAGCAGGGAGCAGGGAGCAGGGAGCACAGAGCAGGGAGCAGGGAGCACAGAGCAGGGAGCAGGGAGCACAGAGCAGGGAGCAGGGAGCACAGAGCAGGGAGCAGGGAGCACAGAGCAGGGAGCAGGGAGCAGGGAGCAGGGAGCAGGGAGCAGACTGGCTTGGTGTTTAGGAGACTTAGAGAGGAGTTAACAGCAGACTCCCCTGTAGCTGAGCTCTATTGTGTGACACACACACACAGAACTCTCCTGTTACAAATAAATATTATTGTGTGTGTGTGTGTGTGTGTGTGTGTGTGTGTGTGTGTGTGTGTGTGTGTGTGTGTGTGTGTGTGTGTGTGTGTGTGTGTGTGTGAGTGAATGTGGGCAGAGTACAGGACTTAACAAGGGAACGGGGGAAAGAATCCTACCTCTCCACATCGAAGGGGAAGCAGAACTTGGGCACCGTCTGGAGAACCTCCTGAGAACACAACCATTAGAAAACATTTAGTTAACATTAACACAACGCAAACACAATACTAACACAACGTAAACACAACGTTAACACACCACTAACACAACACTAACACAACGTAAACACAACACTAACACAACGTAAACACAACACTAACCCAACACTAACACAACGTAAACACAACACTAACACAACGTAAACACAACACTAACCCAACACTAACACAACGTAAACACAACACTAACACAACGTAAACACAACACAAACACAACACTAACATAATTTTTTTTTTTGTCATTTAGCAGACACTCTTATCCAGAGCGACTTACAGTTTCAGTGAGTGCATACATTTTTCATACCTACAATGTAAACACAACACAAACACAACACTACCACAACTCAAACACATACAACATTAAAATAACTTTCATTGATAAGCCATTAAAAACTATTAAAAATGCAATGTATTAATAATAAGAACACTACTTATATATAGATTATTAATTATTATTAATTAATGTATTTTCGTTCATACACAACCCTGTAAGTTTAGCCTAATCAAACATAAGACTTAATCAATCAAATTACTTGTTGAACATGGATTCATTAAAAGTCTTATAGTGATAAAATTATCTAATTAAATAATTTAATCCGGCTAAATAACCTACATACAACATTACATAAAATCGTCAGAGCTGATGAGTGTCGCAGTTGAGAGAATCAGGGCTAAAACGTTTTCTATTCTATAGGTCCAGACCCACAGCTTAAATAATTAGCTACGATAACCTAAATCAATTATCAGGGGTGATGATGGCGGAGGGAGGGATGGAAGGAGAGAGGGATGGGGGGGATAGAGGGATGGAAGGAGAGAAGAGAGAGACCTAGGTGGTGGCAGATTGCTGTGACAATGGGCTAAGCAGCTCTGGGGGTACAGAACAGGCAGGGAGGAGGGGGGGGGGGGGGGGGGGGGGTGGGGGGGGGGGGGGGGGGGGGTTCTAGAGCATTAAGGCTTTACCTCCCAACACCTCCCCTGTGGGATGGGGGGGACAAGTACATGGGGGACTGGGGGGGGGACCTGCCCTTCAGCCCCACACCAGTGGCATATGGATTTAGACAAGGAGCAGAGCTGAGCACCATATGGGACGTCTGTCTGTCTGAGGGGTGAGTCTGTCTGTCTGTCCGTCTGCCTGTCTGTTTTATCTGTCTAAGGGCGGTGAGCCTGTCTGTGTGCCTGTCTGTCTGAAGGTGGTGAGTCTGTCTGTGTGCCTGTCTGTCTGAAGGTGGTGAGCCTGTCTGTGTGCCTGTCTGTCTGAAGGTGGTGAGTCTGTCTGAAGGTGGTGAGCCTGTCTGTCTGTCTGAAGGTGGTGAGCCTGTCTGTGTGCCTGTCTGTCTGAAGGTGGTGAGCCTGTCTGTGTGCCTGTCTGTCTGAAGGTGGTGAGTCTGTCTGTGTGCCTGTCTGTCTGAAGGTGGTGAGCCTGTCTGTGTGCCTGTCTGTCTGAAGGTGGTGAGTCTGTCTGTCTGTCTGAAGGTGGTGAGCCTGTCTGTGTGCCTGTCTGTCTGAAGGTGGTGAGCCTGTCTGTGTGCCTGTCTGTCTGAAGGTGGTGAGCCTGTCTGTGTGCCTGTCTGTCTGAAGGTGGTGAGCCTGTCTGTGTGCC